TGGATGTTGCCGAATAGGTTTTCTAAAACGAATCGCTCGACACCCGGATCTCGACAGAATCTTGAGTTCAGATATTCAAGAGAGCTTTGATGTGCAGTCATCGATTTCATAAATTGAGAATTGATAGTTACGATGGTATGAGCGGTGTTTGCCAATGATTCCAGAAAGCAAGCCGAAGAAGCTGCTGCTTGCTCAACTGACCGACCGGCCGAAGATTCTGGGAACGGTCAAGAATGGCCTAGGATGATTGTCTCGAAAACGCTGCTGCTGCAGACTCTGATTATCTTCTACCGAATCAACCGTTGGAACAGGATCAGGAAGGGAGACACTTCCTGACACTGCTCTTTCCTCGATCTAAGAGGATAAATGGTCATCAGAACTATCTGACTGGTTGATTTACACGTTTTAAGATTGTCGCTCGTTTACAAAGCACAGAAAGTTAAACTCCACCTTGGCATGATGGCTATTTTGAAGATGTTACAATATTTCGGCTAAATCAATGTTTGTTATCTTTAGATTTAGTCAGTTACCGTGGTGTTCCACAAATAATGGTGCAAAGCGGATAACATAAGTCAGATTTTAAGACATTTATCGTAGTACTTCGGCATCAAACCTAACTGGAATAAATAGCAGTATATAAATTGTTTCCTTAGCTTAATGCTATAATCAGAGTAAAATTTCAACGTTACTAATTTCCAGTCACTTCGAATTCGCGCGGCTTAATCGTGACGACCTTTTGCTTTTAGTAGCCTAGAGACAATTTTAATGAGCCGTGGCTGCATGGAGTTTCAGCACCTGCAGTGCGTGGGTGCAAAGCAGCAACCTTTTTTGGGTCGAACAGAAACGTTCGAACACCAATGAATTTATCTCGGTCCATAAGCATATATAGTGAATATTAACCTCGGTATTATGGTTTGCTAAAAAACTGCTAGTTTTCGATGCCACCGGCAGGAATAACAATCTTCTGTCACATTTTTAGGTGACGTCATGTAAATCCGGACAGGTGACAGATTATTCTTGCTAATTATATGGGAAACGAACAATTTGCTTGCAAACCCATAATACTTGAGTTAAGTATTATTTCAAAGTAACTGATGTTTACCTTGCATAATTTTCGATAGAATGTACAGGCAATGCGGAGTAAGATTTTTCTTTTGTAGTCGATACTAAATGCTCCATAAAGTGAGCTTTTACTTTAGCAAGTTTAGCATCCCGTGTTTTGTAATTCGTCCAGTTTCTTAAATTATTCGATGTTGTGTTAGCTTCTTTATAGGGTAAATCTGGCATCCTGTTACTTCTTATCTTGACCATTACAACGCTTTGTAATGAATTTTTAAAATTGGCGAGATGAATAGGCGATGTTGAATCAGCAAGTTTTGGTTTCTTACTCCGGGAAATGTTTTCACATCGCTGTTCAGCTGATTCATTCTTTTGCAAATCTATTGGTTCTTACCTGTTTTAGCGTGCTAAGGTAGATCCATCAAAGCCAATGTCGATAAAGGAGATCGTCGAGGTGAGGATTTTTTAACTTCATGTTTCTGCTTGTACTCATTCTGAATTTTAGATATGCTGCCAGGACGTCAAAGTGGACGAGAATATTCTCTATCGAGCATTGTCTATCATTTGTGAAGACTGGCACCATGACGTATGGTTAAACTGAAGGATGGCAGTTATTAAAAAAATTTAATGTTCACATGTCGATTTATAGTTCCTTCCACAAGAGATGGCGTTGAACTTGAAAAACCTGATCTATCGCGTTGCGCTGTCAAGAATTGAGTAAGTCTTGCTACCACTTTCCATTGTATTTTGGATGGTCGATAATTCAATCGCCCCGTTTCAGCTGGGACGACGTTTTCCTCTCTGATGACCCGCTCGATAAATCTTCTAACTCCGTTTTCGCGCGACTGTTAGATTTGGTCTTTGCTGAAAACAAACGTAAGCTTGAAAAGTTGTTTGTTATTGATCGATAGCCTCGCTTTCAGATTCTCCCGCTGTTGCTGCATTAATACTTCCAAATTTCCATGTGCTCGCTGGCGCCCCTGAATTTTCTAGTTTGGTCAGAAATCCAAAATTCAGTTTCGTTCTGCAAGCTTACGAAGAGCTTTGCCGGCAAAGGATAGAGGAAGCTCAATCAGAGAACCTCCACGATGATAACAAAATGGTCATGGATATCGTATGAACTCTATGCTATCTTGTATTGGAATTATTTGTGCCTAATGCCTCGAAATCGTAGTGCAGGTAAATGCACACAGTAAACTGAGGTTGGAATTATTTTGTTTCATGACATTTGTTTTGTATCTGTGAGGATTACATAAGAAAAGAAAGATGGATTGTGCAGAATATGTAGATAATGTAAATATACAGGTAATATACAGCTGTTCACTAATTGAACCTCTCGATGCTCATTGAATGTTGGACAAATAAGATTATTGTGAATCTATGAAAGCGTTTGTTCTACATCTGATTTGTCGCACTGGTTTTCCGTAGCCGTTGTTCAAAGCCGGCTCATAGCAAGATCATGTATTTGTAAAGTGGGTGTTGAGAGTTGGCAGCGATCTTCCCATGACGGATATTGGGCTTGTTTATGATGATATCTCAACAAACGCTGACCGACAAAAGTATGAAACTGCATATGCATGAAATTCATGAGTTTTATATGCTTTACGCGTCCTGGAAACACTGCTTCAACTCTAAGCACAGAGACTGTACGACACGACGCCTGTACTAATTGTTCCTGAAGAATGGGTATTCGGAAAAACACTGAACGACATTGAACTTCCCCCCCCAGGTGGAACTTAAAGTAGGCAGATGGTAATTCTGCCAAACATGATCCTGGTTATCTTCAGTTCCGTATCGGGAATTTAAATTTGTTTTGTGATAGTACTGACTTGTCATGCAGTTTACATTGGATAAGGTTGTTGCTTGCCTTATCAGTTGTCTGTAAGGATCGTGTAAACCACGGATTAAAAAGTTAGCTGTCGTGACATCGCTGCTTTAAACTTTACGAGTCTCCAGACTGTTCTGCATTTTCAAGCTGACCACTTTTTCACGTACTTCCAAGCAGATTATCTGAATCTTCTGAAAAGTCGTGGCTAATGCCGATGGCTACATCGGTCCAGAGAATAATGGACGTATTGAAACATAAGAATGAGCAAATTTTGAAAAAGCTGAGAACAGCATAAAATGGTTTATTTACACACAGCGCTATAATATAGTTAATCGGGTGACTGCCAGGTACCGACGTTTCGGCCCGTGTCACTGGCCTTCTTGAACAATGTAGACGAGCTTCGGCAGAGGAAGACTGGCTCCAAACATACCAAACGCTGGGAACGACAGAAAGTTATTTAGTCTCTCTATCTTGGAGATATCCTGCGAGACATGGGCCAAAACATCGGTAATGGTCAATTATCGGATTGATCAAGTCTCTTGTCGTACAGTAAGTAGTGGCAATCAG